ACTAGTAAGTAATAGAAATAAATTTGATCTCCTACCTAAAGTTCATTATTTTAACCACTTCACTACAATGCCTCTCAGAAAATTGCCACCCAGTTACCCTCTATCTAATATCACCTTATTTTAACTTTCTTGATAGCATCTATCACTACCTGATACTCTTCATCTATTTATTTTTGTTTACCTATATATCTATTTCTTTACTTTTACAAATTATTATCTGTCTCCTTTTCCTAAAATGCAAGTTCTCTGAGGCAGAGATGCACGTCTGCTTTGTTTACAGTAGAATATCTGGCATCTAAGGTAGTTCCTGGCATGTAGGAAGCACCCACCAAACATTTGCTGAAAATTAATTAGTGACCTAATGGACGTGGGCCTGTCTGGTTGTCGGTGCGGGTCTCCAAGGTGGTGAATTGGATCTGGCCATTCAGGGAGTTCAGAGTTCTTAACCAATAGTTTCCCTGGAGGTGGTCAAACCCGGTGATTCACCCTGACTCAGCTGAGGAGAGACTGATTTATAAATCAGAATGGCAATTTATTAATTCACTGTGAATGTTCTTGTCAGCCAAAAAGCACATTTAGAGAAGCCTCCATGGGAAAGCAAATTAATATCATAAGGTTGTTCAGCAAATATAAAATCAAAGCAAAAGGAATTTGAAGACTTTGCATGACATTTTAATCAAGCAATGGCAGCTCGATGAATCGCCCTTCCCTACTACCAGGCAATTCTCACCAATAGGCCAGAATTTCCAGTCGGCAAACATTCCTCCTTTTATAAGGACAATACAGTCTCACTCTCCAACTCTCTAGAAATCTTTATTCTCCAGTTGACTTCAAGACTCCTTTGTATTTCTCTTTTCTAGTTGCTTTAGGTTTGGAGAAGAAAGCTACTTCAAATGTCATTTCTGGGAGGCATCCACTTCCACTCTCTGTGGGTCCTCACACCAGATCGTTTTTCTGGTGACCTCTTAAAATAAGTCAGCTCCCAAATGACTCAGTAAAGAGTCTCAAGATATAATCTAATTGGTTCAGGCCAGTTTATAGATTGGTTATTTCGGGGTCAGGATCTATATCTGGTCTACTTTTGTATGTGGGAGTCAGACTATAGACAATTGTACAAAAGAGTCAGCCGAGGTTTTGGGGAGTGAGGCAGTTCTCTTGGAAAAGAATATGTGCAGAGAAGCAACGATTGCCATATCTAGGGCAGATCTAGATAGGCTTGCCTTACTCTTAGATTGTCCACTTAGGCTCCGATGTCAACTTCCAAATAAAAAACTGCCTTTAAATTTACTGTAGCATTATGCCTTATATTTGTAACCACATTTGTAGTGGCAGTACAGCATAGTGACTAAGAGGACATACTGTGAAGTAACATAGCCTAGGTTTGATTTCCAAATCCAGTATTTACCATATTAACTTTGCTCAATCTCAATATTTCTTCATAATTATTATACCTACCATATAAGTATTGTCATGATGATAAAATAAATACTTTTATTATAATAAAATACTATTTAATAAAATAATACTTATGAGGTCCTTAGCACAGTGCCTGGCACATATTAAACACATATAAAATCTTAGACATTAATAATAATTATTGTTATTTAACCAATAACAGAAGGTTTTCACATGTCCAGTAATACAACTGCTTCCCAATACACTGAATAGTATGTTTCCTATATTTTGAAAGAAAAATAATTTCTAAAGATCTTATAGATAAGACATTTAAATATGGCTAGAGTAGAGTCCCCTTGTAAATCTATCTTCCAAGCAATGAAAGACATTGTCCACACTGCTGGCCAAGTACGTTGCTAAAATGCCAAATTCTTGGACCATTGCTTCCCAAGGTTAATTCAGAAGCCCTCAGGAAATAAATAAAAATAAAATTTTCTCAGCCAAAGAAGATTAGGAAACACTACCCATCCCTTTTGAAAAGTCAGATGCACATTAGCATATTAAAGGTAGTACATAATTTGTCATTAAAAAATCAGACTGAATATGCTTTTATTACCAGTCTTGCTTGAAAACAGAAATGAGCTCTCCTATACACCCTTTTTGTTTCATTTCATATCTATTATCTCACAAAAATAATGTTCTGGAGGACACATTTTATAAACACTCCTCTAGGAAGAGATTCCAGGGTAGCTGGTCACTGCCTCCTACCCACTTTGAAATATATACAGAAACTGAAAAATCCTCCCCCAGATTCCTTGAAAAATGCAATGCTTTCTTACTGTTAAATCTGGCCCTCAAGTGCAATGCTATCACCATCATATTAAGGAGAATAATGACCAATCCCCCCAGGAAAGATTTCCAAGCAACAGTCTCCAGAACCTGTGAATATATTACCTTACATGGCAAACAAAATTTTGCAGATGTAATTAACAGTAACTACTTTGCTGGGGCCGGTCCCACGGCCTAGTAGTTAAGTTCAGTGCACTCTGCTCCCACAGCCTGGGTGCTGTTCCAGGGCATAGACTTACACCACTCATTAGTGGCCATGCTGTGGCTGTGACCCACATACAAAATAGAGGAAGATGGGCCCAGAGGTTAGCTCAGGGTGAATCTTCCTTAGTAAAAAAAAAAAGTGCAAGGATTTTGAGATGGGGAGATTATCCTGGACTACCTGGGTGGGACCAATGTAATCATGTGAATCCTTAAAAGTGAAGAACTTTTCCTGATTGAGATATGCAACCATGAAAGAAGGATGAGAGAGATGCTACCTGATGAGGACTTGACCTACCTTTATTGGCTGTGAAGATGGAGGAAGGGAGCCATGAGCCAAGGGATGTAGTAGCTTTGAGAAGCTAGAAATGACACTTCCCTTACACTCAAACAAAAATGCAGAGACCTAGATCCTCCAACCGCAAGGAAGTGAATTCTTCCAACAATGCTAATGAGCAAAGAAACAAATCTGCCTCCAGAACCCACAGAAAAGAACAAACTTGACAACATCTTAATTTTAGCCTAGTGAGACTTACACCAAACTTCTAGCCTACAGATAAAAAACTAATGTTGTAAGATATTAAAGTAAGGTAGTAAGATAATGAAATTGTCTTAAGTATCTAAGTTTGTGATAATTTGTTACAGGAGTCACAGGAAATGAGTACAATCATCATCTTCACAAATAATATTTTTGATCACTTAATGTATGCCAGGCTCATCTCTACACACTTAGCAAGTATATGTATTAATCCATTAATCGATCCATTAATCCTCCTTGCAACTCTCCTATGTGGTAAATGCTATTATTATCCCCATTTGTGGAGTGGAAACTGAGGCACAGAGAGGTTAGGAAACTTGCTCAGGATCATATAGCTAGTAAATGGTGAAGCTAGAATTCAAATGCAGGCCATGTATCTCTGGACTCTAGGTTCTGATTCACGAGAAACACCAGCTTGGCGAGGATCATATTCTAGGAAATAAGGAATAGCATAGGCTTCTTCAGATACTATGGATTCCTCCATCAAAATGAAATTATAAATCTCTAATTGATCTTCAGATTTAATTTAGATTCCAAATTTTCTATTGCTTTTCAGATGATGCAAATTTCGGAAGCAAGTTGAACATGAATTGTACTAATTTTATTAGCCTAATTTCAATTTTACACAGACACAAATTTATGCATCCAATTAGTTGTAAACCTAGATTTTCTAGGAAGTATTCTCCAGACTCTTTTAAAATGTTCATCAATTACTGGCAAGATATTGAACATCTGAGTCTTCTATTTATATAATATTCTCTAGTATTAACTTAGGCAACTTATTAATTAATTAAAGGTAGGCCTCTTATGTGCACAGTGTTGTGGGTAAGTAACAGAAATATAAAAGAAGTGTATAAGGTGTAGCCTTGGCCCTCATAATCTGTAAGAGTTTAGAAAGATAAGACATTCACATTAGGGTCAAATTTTATGAAATTCTCCACTTGCAGTAATTTCCCCACTTCCCCACCAAGAACCAGGCCATTTAAATAGTCCATAGTTCAGAAATGAACTACTAGAAGTCAATCCACTTATTACAATCTATGTACATCCTTTTTCTCAACTTTTGAAGTAATATGTATGTCATCTAGAACTGAGCAACAGAGCTACATGTTGAAAACATACACACAGAGATACACATGAGCGCATAAAACAAATACACACACACACACATATATATATATATATACATATTCCCCTCCAACCTCACTTCACATTTATGACCCTTCTGAATCTTTCAGTGGCCCCCAAATATATTCTGGAAAACCTGATTTATACACTAATGCACATATATGAAAATATACAAAGCATGGATCTTTCTAGATACTTAGGATAATTCTCAAAATCCCTTTTTGGACTGGCCCTTTGTAACCAGGGAAATAACCCTGCAAAAACCTCTGAAGAAACATTGTAAAATGTCTCAGCAAAACATAAAGAACAAGTATAAAACACATATCCCCTAACTCCTCTCTTCCCTTTTGAGAGGAGCACAGCCAATAGCTAACCGAGCCAACAGAATTCCTCTTCTTGTACCTCTTGCAGCGTCCCTTTCTTAAGGAGCATGAGTCTGTTTATCCCCTCCAGGTTTCACCATGAACAGTTTTCCTCATCTGGAATTTCAACTTAGAATTCAGTTAATTGGTTAGAGTCCTTCTCCACAGAGAGCTCAAGAGAGATGAAAAAGAGGGACCCTGTCTCCCTAAGAATGAGCAGGTCTACACAAACTTTGTTTCTGAAGAATTCCGGGGATTTGCAATAAAGAAGCAAGAAAATTAAAGCTGTAATGTTAACATGTTTTGAATATCAAAAAAGAAGACACTTGAAGACTTTGAACCCTCATAAGAGGGGCTTCCTCTGAGGATGCTTATTTGATTCCTAATCTAGCTCCACTTACTTCGAGTTCACATGCTCTCCATTCACCTCTTAGTCTGAATCTTTACCTCCATCTATGAGAATAATGTCATTTCTCCCAGAGGAAGAAAACCCATTTCCTTAGATTCCTTTTCCTTTTCTCTCACAGATTACTGAAGTCTACATCTTGCAAATTTGAGTAGCACTCCAAGGCTTCAGCAAAGTGGACACTGGTCTCTTGCCACCCAAGCTCTACAGCAAGAGGGAAAGGTAGGCATGGGGTGGGACTAGATGAGCCCTGGGGCTCTTTTGGTGATAGTGGCAGTGAGGTCCCTTCCCAAGTTCTCTCTAATATTCCCACAAGTATAAATAGTAAACCTACTGATTTCTTTAAATAATAAATCTTTCTGCCCCTTCTCTCACTAACAGAACAGCCTAAAGTCCAGATAGTCAGATTAAGAAAGGAATGCATTCCTTCTCAGATTCTCCAACATCTACTGGATGTCTAACAATTCAATTAAATTCTGACACCAATTCTTGGAGTTGGTGCAGACCCCACAGGTCAAGGACTCAGTTACACAAGGCTGTTCCCACTTCATGCACCAGTCACAAGTCCTAGGAGGCAGGGCCACTGTACTTCTGGTCAACTGGCTATAAATCGGGGTTCCTACAATCTGCTCATCAGGTTCAATAATTTCTTAGGATACAAATCAGCAACGGCCAAATGAAAGAGAAACATAGGTCAAAGTATTGAATGGGGGAGGATGGTGCCTAGTTTCTGCTTCCTCTCAGGGCATGCCACCCTCCCAGCACATTGATGTTTTCACCAACTAGGATGCTCCTGGAACTTCATTGCTTATGTGTTTTTATGGAGATTTCATTATGTAGGCATGATTGATTAAATCTTTATCCATTGGTAATCGAACTCAATCTCCAGCCCTTCTCCCATGTCTGGAAGTTGGAAAGTGTAGAGTGAGGAGCTAAAAGTTCTAACCCTCTCATCATGGGTTGGTCTTTCTGGCCACCAGCCCCCATCTAGAAGCTATTTAGAGGCCCCAGTCACTAGTCATCTCATTAGCATATAAAAGACTCTCTTATTACTCAGGAGATTCCAAGGATTTTAGGAGATCTGTTCCAGGAACTGGGGACAAAGATTCTCTCTCCCTCTCTCTCTCTCTCTCTATATATTATTATTACTACGGTTCTCCATTAGCAAGGCACTTGCAACCCCTATGGAATCAGCAAGACACCATCAATGTATTATTGAGTGGAGTAACCTTAGTTTCATTCCTACTCCACCCAGATATTTTGAATTTAAAAATAGCTGCATTTATCCCTAAAGAAAGTTCAGTGTCTCATCTAGGGAAACATTCTATAATTCATGATATATGTTCAAATCGGATCTCCATCTACTAAGGGTAAAGAATGCAGATTCTATCTACTACAAAAATATGCATTATCCTCTCTTTTTGCTGTCTTTTCTCCGAATTCTTTCTACTATTTTTTTATTGTTCCAAGCTGTATTTCAAAGAATGGCATCCTGTCCCACGTTTTCTGAAATTTGAAGTCTTATCTATTGCTAGTTTCACCTTGCTTTCTCACGATTGGAGGTATAATTATAACCCATATTGGTGGTAAATAATAAATAAAGGTTTATTGTCATTTTGAGTGGCAGGCTTCTAGTTGCATAAAAGCCCTACAATAGAATTATGCAAAGGCATTTTGGGAGTCTTGGAAATCAGGATCCAACTATCATGATCTGAGGATCATTTTCAGAGTACTCTTCCTTGGCTATACTTTCTTAGCTCAGGAATGGAAACGGTGGCATAAAAAATGATAGGATCAGGAGACATTACCACCAATACACAAGATGGAACCCACGTTTGTTGTTGTGTATAGTATGCCTGTTTTAACATGTTTCTTTATAGTTTAATCTAATAAACTAGGGACATATCAAGACATATATTTTTGCATTTAAAAAACCTATGAAAAGAAGGTAAATAAGTCACATCTGAAGAAAAATAAGGTCAAATGACAAGATCTGTGGCTTAATACAAAATTCCAAAATCCACAACTGGATATTCTCCCTCTCTAAGGGGATTGTTCTTTATTCTAGGTGGATCTGTGATGTCCTGCCCACAGAATCTTTATTTTTGAGAACTCCTTCCAATTCTTCTTTCTTTTCAGGACCTCCTATTTGTTTATTTACAAAACCAACTCTAATATAACTATATATTGCCCTGTCAAAGGCAGTTGGCTAATTTGTAAAAAAAAATCTTATGAAATCCTGGGCAGAATCTTGGTGGAGGGGTGACATTTACTTCTATTTGGCACTATGAAATATCATAATGTCTTTCACATTTTTGCTTAGTTTTTCTCTTGATTCTTAAAGCACTTTCATGAATAGCCTTGTTATGAGGTTGATTACACACTTGTATTATTTTCCAATGTCTCCTTTTAGATTCCTAGAAAAGGAAATACTAATTTAAAGATTATGAATATTTTCCACCTCCTTTAAAATTTTTAAGAAATAATTTTAGACTTACAAAAGAATTGCAGAATTAGTATAGAATGTTCAAATGATGATGCAGCCTTTCCTAAAGATAACACCTTACATAATCACAGCACAATTGCCAAAACTAAGAAATTAACACGGGTACAACTTTATCCCAAAAATCAATTGACCATATTTGTGGGGATATATTACTGGACTCTACATTCTGATCCATTCATCCATACGTCTATCCTTTCACCAATACCACACTGTCTTACTTAAAGAGCATTACAGTAAGTCTTAAAATCAGGTAGTTTCTTTTAGAGATTTGAAGCATATGTTATTTCTGCAATCATTTCATATTTTATTGGGTACACAATGCTTTCACTTGGCATCAATTATAAGTTGGTTTTGAAAATACTCAGTATTACACTAGCTTGGATTATAACTGATTTCTCCACTCCTTTGGGGTGACTCTGCCAATAGAGGACAGGTTTTACTCTATTGCAAATTGTGTTGCTGTGTATACCCATACAGCAACACAGAAAGTGGCTCCACTACTGATACAGCATCATATATTTGTCATGGAACATATTTGTCATCTATATATTTTTTTGACAAAAATATTTTTGATGTACGTATGTATATAATTTGTGTTTCCATTTAATGTCTTTAAAAGTGAAAAGACATTTTTTAAAAGGTAAAAATGGAGGTCACTCAGAACACTGAACAATATTAGGTAGGTTAAAATAATTTAAGCCTGGTTCATATAGGTAAGTAAAAGACAAAAAAGAAATGTTTTTTTGCTGTTTTATTTACATTTACGTAATTAAACCAAATTGTTTATTTGATTTCAGTATGCAATTTAGCATACTTTTATTGCAAACAGAGTGTTTGTTTTCCTGGAACAAGTTTAAAAACAAATACCAATAGGAAATGAAATACTCTACGGCTTTTCCTGCAGGTTTCCACACTGAACTAGACAAGGATGCCTCCCCTAGTAGTAAACGTGGCTCTAGAGACTGTGTTTTATCTTCATTTTTCAGAATAATTTGATTTATCACCAGTCACATAAAAAAACATTTAGGGAGACCTTATTAGTTGATTAAATCTGATTGTGTTCTCATCTATCCTTATATTTGTTCCAAGGCAATTCCAAATTTATCAGACAGGAGGTTAATCACAGTGACTCATCACAATTTGAGGGGAAAATATCATACAACCACTTTGGTTTCGATGTATTCTGTGAGTTAATTCCATCACTAAAGAAGTATAAACCTTCAGAAATTCGCAAGAGGACAATGAGAACATTTGTTTGTTCAGTATCCATTTGAATCAACAAGAAATAGCCTTATTTGATAGTGAGAGAGAGAGAGGAAGGGAGAGAGAGAGAAAAGAAAGAGAAAGAGAGAAAGATAATGGATAAGGTGAAAATAAACTAAAGAAACAACAGATGCTAAATCGATGTTCATAATAAAAATGTGACAGCTGGAGACAAAAAGGAAGCCAGAAGAGAACTCTCTGTGCTTTATGTCAGAGACAGAGGTTTGCAGGTTTGTGAGTGAAAAAGGGCGATTAGGAGAGGTGAACTAGAGAGTTTGTGGGAAATTGAGAAAGGGATAGATAATGAAAGATTGTTAGAACTTTTGCTATGGGTTGTTAATTGGAACCCCTCTGACGTTCTACACAAGACTTTTATAAAGCTTTGAGGTGTTTTTCAATTATTCTTATTTTCTGGGCTGGTATTTATAGTACTGCAGTTTCAAGCAGAGATGAAACCACGAAAATGTTTGGTTTTAAACCAGTTACTGCACTATTATTATTGCATTTTTATCTTCTTGCATTATTTTAAGATTTTATGGAAATAAATCATTCCCCAGCAACAGCTATGTCACAAACTCCTTGAGAAAAGAGATTATAATCCCCTCAGAGTCTGGGATAAAAACAAGCAAAAATAATTTCTACCTAAGTTATATTATAATAAATTGAACCAGTCACTGATTCACAACTCTAGGATGTCAGGTGGTCTCAGGCCATGTTTTAGGATCTAATCTTGTTGGAGATGCCACTTAACTTTGTTTCCTGAAAATATAACTGCAATTCTTCAAGCCGGATATCTATTTTATCTTTATTATTTGAAATAGTAATAATCACCCCATGCAAATATGTTTTTGCCACACACAACTGCCTTTGGTTCCTACCAAAACCCTATGAAAGCCTGAGACATGATAGGTATTACTTCTATTTTACGTTAAGAAAAATGAGACTCAATAAAAGTCACTTGTTACTGGCCACATGGCAGAAGTGGATTAACAACCAGCTGTTTGCACTCAAGTTTATGTTATTTCTAATACACCATACTGCTTATATTTTTAATAATAAATCACAATTATTTTAGCTCTTTGAAATTAAAAATCTAATGCAGTAACATTTTTTATTAATGCATATATTGAAAATAAATTTTAGATAGTTTGAAATGACAGAGTAATAGAATATATTACATATTAAAATTTTATCCATGTTTTAGGATCAAACATATAAAAATTATTGTGTAAATTACTGTTACCCTATTTAAAATCTCCTCCCTCTCTTAGTAAGAAATAAATATATGAACATGTTCCCATCAACAGTGGTATAAAAAAGAACTCAAAAATAAAATGACAAATTTCTGAGCAATATCAGACCCTACCCAGTGATATTCAAACCATTATTGATGTAACGCTTAAATGTCCTTCTTAACTACAACTACTGTTTATCCTTAGTTCAAGATAAATGTTCACCTATGAAAAGAATACAGCAGCAAGAATCTAGGACAAGTAAGAAGATGGCGAGAAAGTTCTTCAGCCATGAGAGGTGGCTCAGAGTTCGCTATGGATAAAGGATGAACTCATTCTTCAGCAAGTACATTCTCAGAGTGACATGTGCTAGGCTCTCATCTACCCCAAGTTGTAAGAAGTAGTTTATTCCTTTATCCATGGAGATCCATTGTCATATTCTTTCCCTATGTTTCTTTAACACAACTGTAAGACCCAAAAGAGAGGTACCACAAAAGAGTCTTCCTTAACTACATCATTACCACCATTTTTTTTTAACTGAAATAAACAAAACACTGCTTTTTTTACTCCCGGTAATGTCCATCAAAGTTAGAACTGGTCAAACATCAGCAGAGGCCTCGGTGTGTAATTGATGCCAGCAGGAATCTTTGCATGTAGTAGATGAGAGGATGATCATCAGAAATAATTTCTGACTATCCATGTTAACATTTTATTAGTTGAATGAGTTTTCCTTAGGGTTTTCTTGAGGTTTATATATTTAAAGGAGAAGAAAGAAAAAGAAGAAGGAAAGGAGAAAGAGAAGGAAAAAACATTTCTTAGGAAATGCTTTATCAGGGAAAAGAGAAAAACAGAGGTATTTTTGGCCCCCCAACTATAATCCAATCTTGCAGGTCCTCATAGGACTAGATTTTCTTAATTAGAATAGATAGGAACTACAAAAATGCTGATGAAATTTTGCATTCTTGTTGCTTATTTTGAGCTCTTCAGGGGAATTTGAGTTAATTCAAAATGAGCAGCTGGCTTTGTTTTCTGCTACCCTTTCTTAGGCTGGACTGTCAGAATAATTGCTTCCCTTCTCTACCTCAGGTTAATATTATAGATCTGTTTTAAGGTCCTGGAGAGAATCTGGCAGAATGAGAAAGCAATTATACTCTACTCAATTTCATGTTTCCCAACAAATAGGTGTCTTTATGAGTCTTTAAGCTGAAGAAAAGAGAATGAAGAATTCACATAACAGCATAAAATCCCTAGTGGCAAACCAGAAAGTGAGATTATTACACTGGAAAGAAAGCATTTACAGCTATTGGGAACACATACTTTTTACCACTTCTAAGTTCTGCAAAATCAGGAGTAACCTTCATAAACACTATTGAGTGGCTTAATGGGAATTTAATTTGACCGGGATGCCTGGGCCACTGTGAGACTGTCAGACAATGGGTGATTCAGAGTAGAAGGTGAATGGAAACTTTGGAAGTAGAAGAATTCCTTTTCTCTTTAGTCCCAGCTCAATACTCAGCCTCTCTTGGGGTTCTTTCCAACTCACAATCGATTGATTTATTCATCCATCATAATTCTGAATTTTTACTCAGTTTATTCTACAAGCATTAGTATGGGTAAAACTGAAGTGTCAGATGCTGTTCTAGAAACAGAGAGTGAAACATTAGAAAAACCAAGGTTTTTTTCTTCAGTCTGCTTGAAGTCTAGTAAGGGAAACATCCAGATGTAATATGTTTTGATATATGTTTTGATAGAGTTAAACACCAGGTTATATAGGTGCACTTAGTGGGATATCTCCCAGCCATTGAGAGAGAAGGAAGGCTTCCAGGCAGGAGTTCACACCTGAACCAGGCATTAAAGGATGAGTAGTAATTAGCAAATCAGACAAAGGAGAGAGGAGTGTACCACGCATAGAGGCAACAAGAGTAATTATGTTAGGTGATGAATGTGTTAACTAAACTTACTATGGTAGCCATTCCACAAGATATACGTATATCAAATCAACACTTTGTATACCTTAAATTTACACTATGTTATTTGTCAATTGCATCTCACTAAAGCTTGGGAAAACATTTTAAAACAAGAAAACAAAAGCCAGAAATCTGCAAGAGATATTATTTCCTTAATGGACCATCATTCTGCTCTTCTCTTTTGCTTTTTTTTAAAGAAAATATAAGCACTTTTTCATGGAGGAGGCTATCAGAAGTTGAAATCATACTAACTCAAGCAATGTGCATTTTGAGAAGAATGGCTTGCAACAGGTAAGGAAGGTGAGAGACAGCGAAGCCTGCTGATGCTAATAACAATAAAGGTAGGACTAATAGCTTGCATGTAATGAGTCCTTATTACTTCACTGTGTAAATGCTTTAAAAATATTAAAATAAGCAGCTTCAATAAGCTCCAGTATTGCTGGAGCCTTGAAACCAAGTGCATGGAGTGGCACGGGATGAGACTGAGAGGTAGCGAGGCATCAGATCATGCAGGGACTGTATCCCAAGGACAATCATAAGCTATTGAAGAGGAACATGGGTGGACTTTTGTTTCCAAATTACTCTGACTGTGTGAGGGCATTTGTGTCAGGAGGATGACAACAGTGCCTCAAACGGCACTCACTGAGTGTTTAATATGTGCTGGGAAATAAGAATAATAACTACAACAACTAACTTGCTGAGTGTTAACCACACACAGACACTATTCTAAGCCTTACTCTGCATACATTATGTCATTTAATCCTTTTCAACATCCTTATGAAGTAGACTATAATTATCCAGTTTTACAGGTGAGGAAACAGGCACAGATGCTGCTCACAGAAAATTGTCAATGTCAGGTAGTTGTGCAATTGTGGAGCCTAGATTCAAATCCCGATTTTCTGACTTCTGAGCACATGTTCTTAATCTCCATTCTGGTTACTTTTTACTATATATTTTTAAGATTGAGACTTGACATTTAAATGATAAAGGACAATAAAATCATGAGAATATGATGACCATACAGAAGAAAGACAAAATAACCAACACCACCATGTTGCCTAGAAATGAAGAAGTGTTGTTCATAAGTGGGCAGACAAAAAGAAGTTAATGTGCCTGAGTTCATTGCGGAAAATTTGCATCTGGCGGTTTCTATTTTCTAAGCGAAGTATCTACTGACAAAAGGTCACAGTTTGGAAGAAAATGGTAAAAAATAAATTTCCTTTGTTTTGATAAAACATGAAGAATGATGACTAGGCAACATAAGCAAATTGTCAGTATGAAGAGTCTGTTTGAAGTTGATGATGGTGAATTTACAGTAGAAGTAATACAGATAAACTGGCCTAATCTTTGTAAGAGTAACTAATTGTACACACAGATCATGGTGAAAGCCCTAAGGGGAAATGACATGAATTGGGAAATGTGTTTATCCAAGGATGTGAGTTAGAAAAAAATGCAGGAAAGGGAAATGTCTCTCCTTGACATAGGAGCATCTTCTCTCTAAATTGCAGGATTCCATATGAAGAGCCTGCCCCTATCATTCTCTCAGGCAGAGTGCAGAGGCAAGGAGAAGGCAAGGTAGAAGACACGTCGGCTTTGTTATTATCAGAAGTGAAGGCATGAGATGGAAAATGGTACTCTGTAAATGAAGGGTTAAAAAATACATACCCTGTAAAAAACAAATTCCAATAGGAAGCATGTCATCAACACACTTTGAAAATCAGATTATACTTCAGTCTTTTTCTTATTTAAAATAATCTTACTCAGAATTGAAAACATATACTGTACTTGAGGATGAACTAAGTTAAAGGCCAAGGAAAAACTAAAAAACATACAGCATTGCACAATTATGAATTGGTATTGGTTTTATTTTAAATTCTATTTTATATTTCTCTTATTACAACACAAATAGATTAAAAATTCTGAATCTGTCTTTAACTTTTGACAATGATGAGGAAGCCTTGAAAACTCTAGTGTATTTTATCATGATTTTTAAAAAACACTTGTTATGTATTCATTATAGTGATTAATTCTATATCATCTAAGATTGTTGAAGTATGTGGTAAAGAATGGAAATCTACTTTTATAGTATATTTAGAAATAATAAAGTCAATAAGCCCAAAACTCATTAATATCACAGAACTTATATTTAAATGACTATATCAAACCTGTATCTGCAGTGTATCTCACTAAAATAGTAAGAAAAGATTTTCTGAGAACTGTTACCCAGTGGGACAGAAGCTCCTTCTGCCATTAGAGAGGTGTAACCTTAAGTACTCTTTTTACTAGTAGAAAAAAATATATAATTAACCATTTTTACACTTGACATTTTTTATCTGGTGGGAAATGCAAATTCTATACACAAACTAAAAGATTTTGAAAGAAATTTCAAAATAAAAATAACAACTCTTATGATGGGCTGAGTAATGCCCCCCCACCAAAAAAAAAAGTCCACGTCCTAATCACCAGAACCTGTGAATATGTTACCTTATGTGGCAAAAGGGACTTTTCAACTGTGATGATGGATCTTGAGACAGCCTGGCTTTTCCAGGTGAGCCTAATGATGTAATCCCATCATGGGTCCTTACAAGATGGAGGCAAGAGGGTCAAAAGCCGAGAAGGTGAAATGAGAAGGGAAGCACTGGGAAAGAAAGAGAGAGAATTGAAGCTGCTACGCTGCTGGCATTGAAGATGAAGGAAGGGATCACGAACCAAGGAATGTAGGTGGTCTCTAGAAGGTGGGCAGGACTAAGCAACAGATTCTCCCTTACAGCCTTCAAGAGGAACCAGTCCTGATAGCATGCGTCTTTAGACCAATGAGGCTGATTTTGGACTTCTAGACTCCAGAAGTATAAGAGAACAAAGCTGTATTGTTTTAAGCCACTATGTTTCTGGTAATTTGTTACAGCAATAATAGAAAACAAATACAACCAGCTTTCATATTGTTCTCCCCGCCCCATACTCAGATCTGAGAAAACGATACCTATGATCTACTTTGAGAAAAATATCTTCCCCACTCAGGAGGGGTATGGATGAAGTAGCGCAGAACAGTGAAATCAATTCACCTGTCAAAGCCTCCTGGTGGTGTGCTATGTACAAGGAAATAGAACATGGCAGACATGTTTACAGATGCACCTAAATTTATGTAAGAGAAAATAGCCTCTTGACCCTGGCCATGTCACCCTAGAAAGTCATCTGAGTACAAACATTTTATCTACCTCTAATTTTCATCTTTATATACCTTAGAATTTTCCTAAATTAAATTTCCTTAAAGCACAGCATATGCCTTGGCTTCTTAAAATTTCACTGACACAACCTCTGGTTCCTGCCACCTGCCGGGCTTCCTGCCCCTTAATGTGACTATAAATGCCTCAGTGAGCGTACATAGAGCACTGGAACTAATTTTAGGATTTACAAACCTGGTTTTAAGTCCTGGTTCTGCTGCTGCTCTTGGGCAAGTCTCAATCTCTCTGAACTTCAGTTTCTATCATCTATAGAATGAGGCTGAGAGAGCCTACTTCAGGGAAATATGAAAATCAAATAAGATGATAGCTGACTGAATAACATGTAATCATTGTACTTAATAACATAATAAATAACGCTATTTAAATAGTTCTATATTTATCTAGCTTTACATTTCATGAAATTACATTTCATGTCATTCTGGCATCACGGTACCTCTGAGATGTCAGTAAGTGGATCTGACTGCTTTCTCCTTTTAGCAATTAAAAAAATGGAAGGTCAAGATTGTCTTGTCCAAGAGCTAACAAATGGCAAAGCAGGGACTTGAATCAAGGTCTTCTGACTCCAAATCCTATCATCTTTCCCCCTCAGGGCTAGAATAGAGCCTTTCTTCTCTGAACAGAAAGAAGAGCAGAAAACCTTTGTAAAGTATAACAATGTTCTGTGATGATATAACAATGTTCATAAGTTGGGACTAAGATATCAGATCTACAGGCACTGCTATTCTGAACAGGGGGTGGTGAGTGGGGGTGAGGGGACATATAACACAAGACCTGTAGTTAGAAATGCCTAGCATTAAGCCTGACACAATAGAGTCTCCATGAAAAAAGATGCTTATTGAATGAAAACATAAAGATATGCCAGAAAATGCATCTGCCACACTGAAGCCCTACCCCGAAAGCAATTCACTCTCCTCTTTCCACAATAGTGTTTTTGCTTCTGCAATATTTTTAGTACCTCTAGGATTCAATTTGAAATGTATTTTTAATTTAGCTTAACTAGGTACTGAACACCTAATTAATACTTAAAGAACTTCGGTTTGGATCAGAATGAAGATGCTTACTAATAATATTTAATGATTATTTATGGTAATATTTCAAAAGTAAGCTTTCTAATGGGTCTACATAAATTTTTGATGCAGCTTCATGTTCTTTACAAATATAAATGGAGGCTGAAGAAGTAATACTATTTGTCAGCAGGCGTCCTATCAGATAATGTGGTTAATAAGTAGAATCCAGTTTGATAAACAGGTTTTCATGCTCTTTCTAATGCAATTTCTACTCTTTGCTAATTCATCTGAGATTAACCACTTAAACAGAAAACAAGTCTTACTGTTGGGACCTTCTCTTTCCTATTCTCTCTTATTTATTTTCATACATGTACAGAAGGTACTGGGTTCAGATGTGCATTTTTAAAACACTTATTAATGTGGAAACTGGCTTGTTCAGGATATGCCTAACTCCTAACAATGCCATCATTATCATTATCACCAGCAATCACAAATATTTTTATTATTTATTATTCAGAAGTCATTATGCTAAGCTCTGGAAATAAGATAAAAATGAGGGTACTAGCTGTTATTTATGTCCTCACAACTAGTATATAAACTCCATGGGAGTGAGTACCATGTTTTGCTCATTTATCTTTTTGTTTTCAGAACCTTCTTTCAGGCACAGACTAAGCATTCTGCATTTTTTTTCAAGGAATAAATCTACAAAATTAAAATGAAAAAGTAATGCCCCCCTCGCTGATATTCTACAAGTGCCCATCAGGATGGTTTTAAGTCATTTATGGCCAGCATTTCTTCAGTTTAGTCAGTGCCCATGACTTACAAGTTCTTAAATATTTTGAAAATCATTCATATCTGTATCAAAAAAAGTATTATAAAGATTCAGTGATGTAATACATGTAAAACACTGAGAAAAGGTTAAATAAATGTTAATAAAAATGATGGTGCTGATGATGAAAATGATGATTAAACTAAGAAAAATGAACATAAAAGGAAAAAATTACTAATCAAGTAGCATGTTAATAACCATGACACTGAATGG